GTCGCTGGTGCGTTTGTCAATCCAAATGGCATGACGAGAAATTCGTAATGCCCGTCATGTGTTCGGAAAGCCGTTTTCTCCACGTTGCCTTCGTGAACCCGGATTTGGTGATCGCCTGCCTTCAAGTCCAGCTTTGTAAATACTGTGCCCCGTGCAATTCATCCAGAAGCTTGTCGATAATTGGAATGGGAAATTTTTCAGGGACAGTGACTTGGTTTAGGGCTCGGTAGTCTACACAGAACCTCCAACTACCATCTCGTTTCTTAACTAACAGAACCAGACTGGAATACGGACTGCTACTAGGCCGGATTATGCCTGCAGAAAGCATTTCTGCCACCAATCGTTCAATCTCTCCCCCCGCCCGCAGCACGATATGGTGGTCTGCCGCTCGGTGGGGTGGCAGCCCAGTCGGAGAGGCGAACACCTCCTCGAAGCGGTGCAAAACTCCGACCAGCTCCAGTGGAATTGGCAGCTCCTGGACTTCCTCCTCTCTAGCCGCAACTGCACTCAACTCAAGTAAGACACCAAATTGCATCGGAGAAAACTGCCGCGACAAGGCTCGGAAACTTACCAGGGAACAACTCAAGGATGGATCGCCCTAGGGTCGGCAATATGAGTCATGACACGACAACACGACTCGAAAACGACATGAATTTTGCGGGTTCGGATTGAGAAAAAAGAGGTTCGGGTCAGAATCGGGTCGACCTGAAATTGACACGAAAAACACAGGTCAATTTCGGGTTGGACCCGCCTAACCCGAACACGACACGAAACTCGTAAAAAACTAAAAAATACATATATTTTGCATTTCATATTTTAAATTTTATTATGAACTTATGATATCATGATAGTTATACTCCAAATCTTATACTATTATTTGCTTAATTTCAATGGATGTTATTGTAATTTAGTGTGTTATGAATTTTAAGTTATTTCTAATATGAAAAAAACTAAATAAAAGTATACAATTTTCGTGTCAATTTCGGATTCACAGGTCAATTTCGTGTCACGGGTCATTTTCGGGTCGTGTCGTGTCAACTCGTAAAGTGGTCGTGTCGTGTTCGTGTTGCGGTTTTTAAAAAATTTCATGTCACGGGTCGTGTTCGAGTTGATTGCAAATTTAAAAAAAAAAAAAACAATCAAAACACGACACGTGACACGAATTGCCACCCCTAGGTCGCCCTTCCAACAAACCCAACCAGCCTTGGCAAGGAATTCCATAGTATACTTGGACCAATCCGCTCGGACCTCGCCTAGAGTCCGAAGCCACGTTACCCCCAAGACCACGTCGGCACTGCCGAGCTCGAAGGGGAAAAAATCCTCCACAACACAAAAGCCCTGTACCCACAGACGTACCTCCTTGCACACCCCTTGCTGCCGAAAACTCATCCCATTCCCTACTTGGACCCCAAAGCTCCTGGTCGCGGTGCACGGTAAGGCCAACTCCTCCACCACCTTTGTGGACAGAAAACTGTGGGATGCCCAACTGTCAATAAGAACTACCACCTCACGTGATCCCAGCCGCCCTCGTACCTTCATCGTGTTAGATGAAGTGAAACCCAACAAGGAGTTGAAAGACAAGTCTGCCGCCTCGTTCGGATTTCCGACCATTTGCTCTGCCTCCTCATCCTTCGTCCCGTCGGTCTCCGACTCCTCCCCTGCCACCAATAGGACCTGAAGCTGTCGGTTCTTGCATCGGTGACCAGGCCCAAATTTCTCGTCACACCGATAACACAGTCCTTTGGCCCGCCGTGCGAGGATCTCCTCGTCAGAAAGTCGAAGATCCCGGTTCGACGCCGCCACTTGAGCAATAGCCGAGTCTGACTTTGTTCGTGGGAAGGTTTCCCGAATCCCTATGGGTATTGGATTGAAGGAAGCTCTCAGAAGGGGAAGAGTGAACCTTGGGCTGTTCAGTAAATGAATGTCCCCGTACCAGGCCTTCTTGTCTCCATCCCCGGCCCATTTTCAATTTTCTGAACTTTTCTTGGGCCTCATTCCTATCTTCAATTTGTTGGGCCACATCCATTACCTCTTGTAGGTTAATGGGCCTATGTAGTTTCACCCCGGCCCGTATGTCTTCCCTCAGCCCATTGAGGAAGGCTCCCCTGAAGATTGACTCTGGCACTCTTCTCAAAGCTGCCGCCAGTGTCTCAAAAGCATCGCAAAACTCCGCCACCGTCCCCCCCTGCTTCAAGGACATCAACCTCTCGGTTAGGTCACCTTTTCTAGCTCGGCTAAAACGATGTAGTAGGGCAGCTTGGAAATCCCTCCACCCAGCAAAGCGCTCCTGAGTCTCCGCCCATTGGAACCACCCCAGAGCTCGTCCTTCTAAGCACACGGACGCTGCCAAGACTCTCTCCTCCTCGTCTACGTCGTTGATCATAAAGTACCTCTCCGCCCTGAACAGCCATCCATACAGGTCCTCACCATGGAAGATCGGAAGCTCCAGCTTCTTTCCCCGATGTTCTACCCTTCCTTGCCGTACCGGCGACTCTAGCCTGAACACGCGCCCTCGGTCCCTGTCCCTGGCCCCCTGCCTGGGTTCAGGGGCGCGATCTCCCCCGAGGTGCTGCCCCAGGAGCGCCTCCATGCGCTGCACAGCATCTTGAACTTGACCCACCTGATCCGTGAGGACCGTCATGTCTTCCTGCAACCTTGGTACTGGGTCAACCATCGCTCCCATAAGCGCACCGTCTTGCCGAGATGATCCAAGCGCCGTTCCACTGTTTCCTCACGATTCTCAGGTCGGGGTTCCACCGGTCGATTCGCCATGGATCGTTCGCTCTGATACCAAGCTGATAGGAACCTGGAAATCTTTCAAAGATAAACAACACAGAATGCAAGGATCTAACACTGAATAACCAGAAAAAGGGGTTCTGGCTCCTTTTATTACTGAATCACTTTCATTTCCAGCATTACATAGAGACTTCCTCGGATATCTTAGAGAATTAGTCTAGAGAAATACAAGGAAAAAGACTGAGGGGTTTCGAGGACCCTCTACCTCCTAAATTCAGCTCAAAGCTCTAACAAATTCCACACCCCCTCTCCTACCCCTCTACTCTCCCTTATAACCTCTCTGCGCCGACTATTCTAACAGATTCCTCTAATAAACTTCTCCACCTTAGCACTGCCCTCCACTGCCTCGATCTCTATGCTCACATTCCCTCTTTTACCCTTTCTAGAATAGGTAAACTTAATAAGAGGCCTAGGCAGGGACCTATCAGAAGACAAGCGAGTGTGTAAACTCAAGAGGTCACTTTATGGTCTCAAGCAGTCCCCAAGAGCATGGTTCGACAAGTTTGCCAGGGTGATAAGGAACCAAGGATATCTACAGGGGCAATCAAATCATATTATGTTCTACAAACAAGCCAAAGATGGGAAGAAGACAATCCTAATAGTCTATGTTGATGATATAATCCTTACCGGTGATAATGAAGCAGAAATGGAAAGGTTAAAGAGTATTCTCGCCACAGAATTTGAAGTTAAAGATTTTGGGCAAATGAGGTATTTCTTGAGAATGGAAGTTGCTAGATCAAAGAAAGGAATCAGTGTCTCCCAAAGGAAATATGTCATTGATCTTCTCACGGAGACCGGTATGCTTGGATGCAAACCAAGTGACACTCCGATTGAAGCTGGAAAGAAGGCTGAAGATGCTGGAAAGTTAGTTGACATAGACAGATATCAGAGACTAGTAGGCAAGCTAATATACTTGTCTAATACCAGACCGGACATTGCATTTGCAGTGAGTGTGGTAAGCCAACACATGCACTCACCAAAGGAGGCTCACCTAGAGGCAGTCTACAAGATACTCAGATATCTCAAAGGTTCACCTGGCAGAGATCTATTCTTTAAAAAGGCGGACTGCAAAGGTATAGAAGTCTATACAGATGCAGATTGGGCAGGTTCAATTGAAGACAGAAAATCCACTTCGGGGTAATTGTACTTTTGCATGGGGGAATCTAGTAACCTGGAGAAGCAAAAAGCAAAATGTGGTGGCTCGAAGCAGTGCCGAAGCTGAGTTTAGAGCAGTTGCTCAAGGAATATGTGAATCACTATGGTTGGGGAAACTCCTAGAAGAACTCCAAGTCACAGTAGAATTCCCAATCAAACTCTACTGTGATAACATAGCAGCAATTAACATCTCTCTTAATCCAGTCCAACATGACAGAACCAAGCATGTTGAAGTGGATAGACATTTCATCAAAGAGAAGGTGGAAAAGGGGATCATCTCCATGACCTATGTTCCTACTCAAGATCAGACGGCAGACATCTTCACCAAAGGGCTTGCAAGACAAAAATTCGATGATTTCATATATGATCCAACTTGAGGGGGAGTGTTGAAATCCCGAATCTAGTGCATAGAAATTAGTTTCCTGATTTAGGATAAATTGTTTCCTGATTTGTTTTTTAATTCAGCTAATCACTTTCCTGATTTCGCCCATAACTTTAGGAAAGTTGATTTTCATAATTGTATTATAAATAGGAGCCCTATGTACAGCATATTCATTCAATATAGAAAAACAGAAAGCAACGTTCCTGCTTTCAAAAGTTCCTCGGAATTAACAACGAAAAAAAAAAGGACCAAGGCCACAGATATGCATGTAATGGGGAAAAATGGGAGGAACTTATACCTGATCGTATCATCCCTCTAAACATTCTCCATTACCAACTAAAGGAAGACACAAATTAATGCTATCTATAGGCATCACCATCCCCTCCAAAATAATAATAATGATAAAAACAAATAAAAAAAGAAGTATAGGTCACCGAATTGATAATGCGAAAAAAACAAATACGTTTAACAAAGTGAAGTATCCACTCAATTCTCCCATCCTCCCATCCTGGTACCAAGTCAACAGAGAAGGAATTTGATAGGGTGGAATTGACTAATTCTTCTTCTTTTTCTTTCTTTCTTTCTTTTTTTATTAAGATGAAAAAAATCCATTTGTTGAACTATTAATTCAAATACAAAGAAGATAGGCTGAGACATCCTTTCTTACCATATCAAGTTGGTTCAATATCTCAAGGTTCAACTTGGCTCTCTCAGTCACATATTCAATACATCGATATCTTGCTCGGTCAGGACCACTGGAAAACCATCTGTTTAGCACCTTATAAGAAATATATGGGATTTTTCTCCTCAATACAGCCTCAGCAACTGCTTCAATTGTATACATATTAAGCTTAAGTTCTCCACGCATCAGTCGCCAAACATTAAGGACAATTCTACCACCAACATGAACACCACTACCATGAGTCCGTCCCCATTCATCCTCAATTATTGCATCTTCTAATACAACAGGATCAGCAATTACTGAGTCAGGAATTACATTATCTAGAACTCCTTTCTCAGGAATTTCTGAATCTCCAGCAGCAATCTTAGTTTCACATGGTGTCCGAGATATGCTGTTAAGTAAACCTATACCAAGATACGAAGCCCGTTCCGCCAGAAAACCAAGTGAACCTCCCTGAACATCCCAACCCATCAAAATATCTGGGTCAAGTGAACATACAAACTTAATAAAGTGATCAAACAAGTACTTCTCCTCATAAAAAATCAACAGAGTGCAGCCAGTAATTCCGTCGAGATTCCTGCAAGTGGATAGAAATAAACATCAGAGGCAATTCAAATCTAATCTTCAGTACTGGTGTTAGAATATATCCTTCTAGTTATTGAGTCATTATTAGCCAATCGATCCTTAATGCTTGTAATGTAACCCACGCGAATCCACTTATTCTCAAATGCCCACACAAAATAGACATAGAATCCATACCTCTGACAATTTTCAGCTTTACTGTGCAAAAGCACATGGAGTTCAACATCAAAATCACTGTCATTATGAACAGCAAGAGTTATTACATTGACGGCATCAAACCGAGGATCAGGCAGAAGATCTCCTCTTGATGCTACTTGAACCTATTACCAATGTCACATTCAAATTGGATCAATGTCATGCATGAATTCTACTGGCCAAAATTCTGGAGGAGACTATAAACGTTAATAACAAGAATAAACGACATTGGATGAACAAAGATAATAAAGTTCTGACTAACATGATCTATGGTGAACATATCAAATATGGGACCAAAGTTCTTTCATGTTATTCTAATTTGCAACAACTCCAATGTAGTAAAGTACAACTAAACACACCTCTATGCTTAACAGCGTCAGTTGCTGTCCAGCACCAACACTTGCAGGGTCTCGGAATCCAATTTGACTAAGAGGCGTAGGCTTGGATCTCCCACCTGGCCCTGAAATCTGAGAAATATCTAGCGAACAATCAGAATATGCTTTAACTTTTGCAGAATTTCCTTCCCTCTGCACCATAGCCGTCTCCTCATTACAAGCAAGGGTCCTTATGGTATCGACGTTGTTAGTGTCACAATTATCTTGTGGCCCTTGTGCCTTCATATATGGTTGATGAGATATAGAACCAGATCCAGTAGACGCCTTGTTGTAATCATCGGGTGAAGAACTTGGTGAACAATTTGGAGTACTAGAAGTTCCTGTAGTTTCTTACAATTGCCTGATAAAGAGTTCCTAATTTAAGACTAAAACAAGAAAGCACTGAAATGTTTACCTTTGTGAGATGTAGGCTTCCTCAATTTTGTATTTTCCTCCACTGAAGTACCTAGAAGTCCAAAACAAAAAACTAGATTTATATTCCGAAAACTAATGCCCAAACATCGCAACTTAAGTATAGTTTTTTTTTTTACCAATTGACAGCCATCTTTTCACATTTTTAGATGAAGGGGGCGAAACTAGAGGTGTTAACAAATACGAGTATGAGCCATCATTTTGATAGTGTGCGGGGACACCAACAGCAGCTTCATGTTCCGAAGTAGATTCATTAACTGTAATGCACTTGGTCTGAATTTCTGCCTCTCCTTGACAGTCTTCCATAAAGAATGGCAGAAAATCATCCAAAGCTCTCCCTTAATCAGAGGAAAATTTTTCATCAACATTGACTATGAAAAGACAATCAGAATGAGATGAATATAAAAAAAAATCCCAAGAAAAAGACCCTCAAAAACTTGAATTTCTTTAACCAAATAACACTTGAAGTAGAAGGAAGCAAAGAATCAATAAAGCAGCAGTTGTAGAATCCAAAATCTGACGAATTCATTCTTAAATTCAGAGAAAATTCACAAAATACATTAGCAAAGTCTCATAAAATTGTCATAATCATTAAAAGTTACAAACTCACACTCTTCTAATTCTTCATAGTCAAGATGTATCACGTAACCCATAGTTTCTACATCTAACAAATAGGTGATACCATGTGTCATTACATCATTTTCTAAATAGTACATAGAGCCCCAACGTAGACACTCTTGCATGAAAATTTCTAAAATACAAAGCTTCAAACTCTATTGACATACCAAATGCAGGGATTCCAATCATCAGAACCAAAAATGCAAATGCCTTTTTTATGAAATTTGCTTCTATAGAAAGCCTCAAGCTCCTATGTACCACATGCAGCAAATAGTTCCATATTCTAAATAAAAACTTCTTTCAAAATAGTAATAGGAAGAGCAAACTTGGTCAAAGCAAGATACATTATTCAAGATTGTAAATTGAAAGCTAAACCTGATGCTCCATCATGAGATTCCTTATCTTGACAGGGAAGATGAGAGATAAAAGAATCAGAAAAAGCTTTTCTAGATGGCTCGGTAATCCAATCAGTAGCAGGGGATTTTCTGTAGAAGGTCAAACAAATTAGGTCCATATCTTGTCGATCCGTTGTAATAACCAGCGGAACATCTCCTCCCTGGCTCTGTCCACTGTTTAAAGCATTTATGTTGGTTGTCATATTCATTGCAACTGATTTCTCAGGAGACATCTCATGTTCCAATTCCCTGGAGGATCGACCTTCCTTGCCACTCTTCACATTCAACTTGTCACGCCCAACAGCAGTTTGATGACAGCTTGAAGCAGCAGCATTTGTTGGCTCCAATCTCTCGGCAGCAAATGTGTTATCCTCAAAATCAGACTTCAGTAATAGAACCCTGGGTTCTTGACTGTTCTGAGAATGGCCGATAGCAGCTGCAGAATCAGGACCGCCAGGCATAGAAAGTGAGGATCTTGTCACATAAGAAGGACCTGTGGATAAGAAGTTCCCAGATAGAGTGGTCACTCCACTACCATAGCTATTATCACTTTTATGAGAAGTAAAATTTCCATAATCTGCTGTACTACCAACCAAGGAGCTGCCACTCCTAGACAAAATGGGGAGTTTTCCAGGAGAGTCATCACCAGTTGCTTTCACATCATAAACCTCCTGAAGCGAAGCAGCAAATGGAGGAAAGCTAAGAGACACACAAGGCCTCTTGTTAGGCTCATCAATAGGAAACACTTGAAAATCTAAATTTCTTGGGAAGATATTATCTTTTCGTTTCATTTCTGAAAGGGACTTTTCTAGCCCCTGAGAGCTACATTCAAGAGACTCAACTCGGTGGTGTCGCTTTCTCCTCATCAAGTCCCGCACAGAGCACACAACCAGTGGAGCAGTCTCATTCCCATCACAAATATCAGTCTTCACATTTTTTATTGAAGAATGTTCATGTTCTCCCATATATCCAGACAAAGGACTGGTAGTGATGGGGCCTTTGGTATCAGTACAGAAACTTTCATCCTTTAACTTTTCGTTTGTGGAAAAAGGTAAAGAACCCCACAACAATTTTTTCCTTTTGTGCTTATGATTAAAGCTTGAGTGAGCATCCTCCACTACCTTTTTCCCACTAAGAGTATCCTCCAAGAATACCTGCTGTTCACAAGCCTCATCAAAATTTCTCTTGCACTCAGTTGCATAAAAATCTTCAGTTGATCGGGCAGGGGGAGTAAACATATCATCGCCAGCACCATCCACTTGGGGAATAAAATCTCCAGATGAAAGGTTGGGACAGCGGCTATTTTTAGTAAAATCAGCTCTCTCCTTTATATCCTTAAAGTCAACAAAATCATCAACTGAATCAAGAATGTCCTGGCACTCCTTTTGAGATTCACTCTCATAATCCATATTAGCTTTCTCCAAAACTTCCTCAATTCTGGTTGCGGGCAAAAATGGACTCAAAATGGTATCACGCAGAAGTTCATCATCAGAATTTATGTCATCTGCTGCCTGAGAAGTGGCAAGCCACTTTAGAAGACCCAAGGCGTCCTTATCTGCAACCTGAAAAACATATATAATTCAAATTAGACATAAAAGACTAAAGTAAGAATGTAAATACTATTCTTGGCACACCTCCTATCAGCTCAGGCTTTTTGGGGAATTTGTAAAGTAACATAGACAAGCATGGAACAAAAGACAAGACAATCGAGCTGACTCATACAATCCTCATTGCATATCAAAAGTCTTATGCATGCTCCAATATTAGTTACAATAATCCAAATTTAACAGTTATGTTGAAACAAATCTTTGAATAAGTTGTGAATTGAATCTATAATTGTTGTCGAAAGTTTGCAAATAAACACGGAATTGGGTACTTGATGAAACCAGTTTTGTTGTAGTCAAAGTCAAAAGGAAGTGAAAATTTTATTAAATAACGTGGGGCCATTTGAAAAGATTCCAAAGCACCCTAGAAGAACTTCACGAATTTAACACAAACCCGTGCAGTAAAGTAACACAAAAGTAATTTTCAATTAATAACCCAATATATTTTTACGGCAATCATAAGAAGCAGGTAATTGAGTTGCTTCCAAAGGTGTAGGCATAGAATCCCATACACTATGAGTTGCTTCCAAAGGTGTAGGCATAGAATCCATACACTATGATGACACTGTTGGAGTTTTTTTTTTTTTCTTTAATAAAAGAATATATGTAAGGAAAAATAAACAATTCATTACCCAAAAAGAAAGGCCAAAAGCAGATATTCAAACGGCCACAGTATATTAATCATGCCCTCTAAAGATCTTGAAGCAAAACACAGTGAATGTAGCAAACAACATGCAAAATAGTATTCCTTAAAAAGAATAGAATAGTGAATAAGTAAAGGAAATATAAACAACACATGACATATTGCTAGATAGAAAAGCAAACGAATGAATGCTTTCAGCTGGGGGCTTAAACACAAGAGAAAGAAAAGGCAGTACAATTGAAGAACAAACAAAATAGAAGCAGAGTTAAAAGAGACCCGATTGCACAAATAGAAATTATAGACAAATTAAAACACTCCTATACCAACCACACAAATGTATACAGCACAAAAATTAGAATCTAATTGATCAGTCAAATGCAATACCAGGAGAGAGAAAGAAGAAAAGAAACAAAAAAAAAACGGAAAAGAAATTCAATGCACAAGTGAAGCAATTTTGTAATTCCACTACAATAAAATAGACAAGCGTTCGGAACTGTGAAACAGGGCAAAGATAAGCAACACCATGAAAAAGCCCACACATACAGGTTGAAGAAAGAAATTGTTGGAAATGGAATATTCGGTAGTAAATATACCGAATCATAGGGCTGTAAATAGGAAGATTGTTACAGGCTGTAAATAGGAAGATTTAGTCAAACTAGAATAAAGGGTAATTAGTTAGGGTGATTTGCGTTTATGTACCTTCCTAGAATAGTGAAGATTTTGAGGAAGAATAATCTTCTATTTTCTCATTGAATTAATCGGTAACCATTACACACTTATATACACGATTTACATAACTAACAAGGGTAACAAATCCCTAAAAATAAGGGATAGGAAACTTTCCTCCTAAACCTAAGGAATCAGAATAGGAGAATCCAGATTCTATAAACCCCTAATTTCCTTCTATGAATAAATCTAAATATGACAACTTTGAGGGAAATTCCACATCTCTTCTTTATCTTTTACCTTCAGTGTGAAATATACACGGCTTTAGATTAATAAAAAGATTTGAAAAGAAAGTTTGGAGTAATTTTGTAGGCTTTTATTTTGGTTTATTCTTCTTTTTACCTTAATTTTGGGCTTTACCCCATCTCCACATGTTTCGTTCTGTCGTGGTGAACTGGATCCTTTGCAATACTAATAGTAGCCTGATTATCGCACTTAAGTGTCACTGACTTCTCAAACTCCAACCCCAAACTCGGTCATAACTCTCCTGATCCATATTCCTTCACAAATCGTTACTGCTAAGGCTCTTAGTTCAGCCTCTGCACTGCTTTTGGAAATCACAGTCTGTGTCTTGCTTCTCCATGTTACAAGATTCCCCCAGACTAAAGAGCAATACCCTGTGGTCGACCTTCTGTCTACCTGGCTTCCTGCCCAGTCTGCATTAGAGTATAGAGCTATATTTCTGCAACCGTTTTTCTTAAACAACAACCCTTTTCTAGGGATCATCTTTAGATACCTAAGAATTCTGTACACAGCTTCCATGTGTTCCTCCATCGGATGGTTCATAAACTGACTTACGACACTTACTGCGAAACCAATGTCAGGCCTAGTATGGGAGAGATAAATGAGCTTCCCTACTAGACGTTGATATCTTCCTTTGTCCACTGGGAGTCCTTCCTCTTTACGCCCTAACTTTTTTGCAGAGTCCATAGGGGTGCTTGCAGGTTCACATCCTAGCATACCAGTTTCTTTGAGTAAATCCAGGGTGTATTTGCGCTGAGAGACAACTATTCCCCTTTTTGATCGAGCCACTTCCATGCCTAGAAAGTACCGTAGAGGACCAAGATCTTTTACCTCAAATTCATTAGCCAAGGATCGTTTGATTTTCAGTAACTCCTCGTAATCTCCGGTTACGATAATGTCATCAACGTACACGATGAGAATGGCTCTGTTCTTGAGAGAGCGCTTTACAAAGAGCGTGTGATCCGCTTGACATTGAATAAATCCTTGTTCTTTTACGGATCTTGAGAATCTACCAAACCACGCTTGTGGGGATTGTTTAAGCCCATACAGAGACTTCAATAACCTGCACACCTTATTGTTGTTGTTGCTTATTCGCAGCCCCGAAGGAACTTCCATGTAGACCTCCTCTTCGAGATCTCCGTTAAGAAAGGCGTTCTTTATATCAAGTTGATGAAGTTTCCAGTCCAAATTCGCTGCATGAGAGGAGTATTCGAATGGTGTAAAGCTTTGCAACAGGAGCAAAGGTCTCCTGGTAATCAACACCATAGGATTGAGTAAAGCCCCTTGCTACTAACCGAGCCTTAAGCCTTTCAATGCTTCCATCTGCCTTGTGCTTCACAGTAAAGACCCATTTACAACTCACATTTTTCTTTCCTGGCGGGAGTTCAGTAATAGTCCAAGTTCCATTCTTTTCCAAGGCCATAATCTCCTCTTGGACAGCCTGTTTCCATCCTGGGTGACTCAGAGCCTCTAGAATGTTTGCTGGAATTTGAACATTATCCAGCCCTGAAGTAAAGGCTCAATAGGATGGAGAGAGACCTGCATATGATATATAATTCTTGATTGGATGTTGAGTACAGGTTCGAGTATCTTTCCTTAAGGCGATAGGTAGTCTCGAATCATCTAGAGTCTGAGTCTCATGTGATCCTTTTTGTTCTGGCTCATTTCCACCTCCTGTGCTAGTTTCAGCAGTCATTGGGTCCGGTTCAGATTCTTGGACAAGTATGAGATGTGCCAAGTTCTCAATCTCCCCCTAAGGTTGTTTTTTCCTCCTGGTGTATACCTGAAGTTCTTTAGTTACTGGCAGAGGACGGGGCAGACTCAAGGAAGGAATATTAGGATTAGCCGAAGCTTCAAGGACTGGACTGAATGGAGACGTTTCTGGCTGATTTGATGGTACATGGACTGGACTGGACATAGGGCTAGACTCGGCATTTTGTGGCTGTATATTTGAGCTCATTCCAGGTTGTTCTAGCAAGGAATCCCAACTCCAAAGCTGAAGTTCTTTCTGATGACTCTCCCCCTGAATTTCAATTTTGGAGAAATAATGAGTTTTTTCAAAAAATGTCGCATCCATTGTGTCATAGACTCTTCTTATTTTGGGACAAAAACACTTATAACCTTTCTTATTTGTGAAATAACCAATAAAGGCGCATTTGATGGATTTTGGATCAAGCTTACTCCTGTTTTGGGGGTATACATGGACGAATGCAAAACATCCAAAAATTTTGAAAGGAAGATCGGAGGAAAGAACACGAGCATGAAGGAAGATGTTAATGAGGGCTTGACGTGGTGTACCAAATTTTAGAACACGGGATGGCATCCTATTAATGAGATATGCAGAGATAAGAATGGCTTCCCCCCAAAGATACTTTGGAACACCAGTGGAAAATGTGAGGGATCGAGCTACTTCTAACAAGTGACGATTTTTCCTCTCAGCCACTCCAATTTGTTGGGGTGTATTGACAAATGAACTTATTTGCATAATCCCCTGTCGGGACAGGTAGTTGCCTAGAACTGAGGAGAAATATTCCCTAGCATTGTCAGATTTAAGAATCTGGATTTTAGTACTGAACTGTGTTTGGATCATGGAGTTAAATGCTTTGAATATTCTATCAACTTCTGACTTTTCTTTCATAAGAAAAACCCAAGTGAGTCGTGTATGATCATCCACAAAAGTCACAAACCATTGTGCCCCAGTGATGTTTTTTTTCGAGCAGGTCCCCAAATATCACTGTGAATCAACGCAAATGGTTGTGATGGACAGTAGGGCACACTTGGATAAATAGAACGAGTGTATTTTGCAAGTTGACAAATCTCACAGTTAAAAAATTTTGAACTTTTATTGATGAATAAATGCGGGAATAACCTTTCGAGATACATAAAGTTTGGATGACCCAACCGATAGTGCCATAACATGACTTCACTATCTTTATTGACACTGGAATTAAAGACAGACTTAGGACTGAAGTTATTGACTGACTAACTCGTAGGAAGGTTTCTGCTCCCAACTAAAGCTTATCCAAGTTGAGGTATCTTGAAGAGATAGAGTCCCGAGCACATCTCAGCACTGCCAATCCTCTTCCTCGAACCCAATTCCTGAAAAACAAACATTTGGGAGAAATTTAGTAACACAATGATGATCACGAGTCAACTTACTGATGGACATTAAGTTGCAATCGAGTTTAGGGACATGAAGCACTGATTTGAGGATGATTTCGGGTGAGAGTCGAATGGATCCAATCCTGGCCACCGTAGACAAGGAACCATCGGCAATGCGTACTGTGAGATTGGTAGTACTCGGTTGATATGCATGAAAGAGAGACCCATCTCCCGTCATATGGTC